TGGTAACACTTTATAATAACAGTAGTGTTTAAGACATTAATTAACTTTTATTTCATAATTGACTAATAATGAACTAATGAGGTATTTAGTTATTTAATATATTAACCTTTCTTTGTAAGACAGATTTGAGCCATTACTTGATTGTGGTTTACACATTACTTATGTTACTTTTGCAGCCCCACATCTAAAGTGATGTCACTGGGTCCTGTTCTTGGCTCCACCCTCTCTTGTCTCTTCCCATGAAGCCCCACCTTATCATTACTGTTTCCACCTGTGTGGAGTTTGTTACCTTTCCTTGCCCAGGTGGTTACTATTCTTGTCTATGGTTTAAGTAGCTCTCATGTTTGTTTGTCTTTGTCTGACATCATGTTTTTTGGCATTATTTGTTTTTGCCTTAAAGAGTAACTAAGACATTTTTTTCATTAACAGCTGAAATGCTCTGCTCTGTACTAATAAAATATACCAGACTTGCTTGAAATGTGAACACATCTTTCCAAACTGTAAGAATATCATTTTTATTGGGGTCAGTTCCACCTCTGCAGCACCCCCTCTGCTTCAACTCTGCTATAGGCGCTGGCGACGTGTCTTCATACTGAAGTACCATGAAACGTTGCCACTCCCTGATGACACCCTACTCGAGCTGCACTCATAAATATGAAAGCATATGGAGTGAGGAGAGGACCACACTCATGCGCTGAGCTAAACACCCCAGCACCACCTCACAAGGCTGCGATATGCCAGCTGTCTGTACCGACTGTAAATAACCCAGTTAATCTGAGCCTGATCAGAAACACCTTCCCTCGTCAAAGATGGGGACGGTAGTAAAGAAAAATTGTCAACCTAGTAAGACTCTCAGCTGCAAAAGTGCCGTTTGATTCTGTCTCTCTCTTTATTTTCCAGTAGCTAACATACACTAGCTCTAAAAACACAGCAGCCCAGCCCATCCAGTTTCCCTTGCAGCCCCACCTCCTAACCCGAACACCACTGCAGTGCCCCTCCCAGCATGCCCCTCCCATTTTTGAGCATTTTACAAAGTTGAGCCAGGAGTGGAGTTAGCTGAAAATAGTGGGGTGTAGGTATTCATGCTTACAGCCTTATATCCTGATCTTCTGTCACACATCAAGGCAGAATGGATGGAAGAGTTTATTAAGATTTGTTTATAGACAAATATCCTCTATTCTAATGTAGTTTGTAATACTATATATAATATGCTATTTATGTCATATTTACCAAGTCATTTGGAGTCCCAAAGGACACATTAACAGCCAGGATATTTTTTATGTATAAATGTCTTTTAGAAATACTAATATATTCACTAACAGTGGTTTACCAACAGTGACCCACTATCCTCTTGCTATCAGGGACATCAGGTCTAGTCATTAGTGGTGAACAGTCAGCGGGGTGCAGACCTTATCAAGTCATTGGACCAATATATCGCTGCTGTTGGAACAAAACCTCATATCTCCAAAATGGTAACTTTACGTGGAGAAGAAAAACATACATTACTTTTAATGTAAGTCAGTGGAACCAGATTTTTTTTCCAAGTAATTTTGGTTTCTTTTGGTCCATTCATCACGAAATTTACACACAATGTAAAGGACAACAAGCATTTTCAGATTGTCAAAAACTGAAAAACGACAAAAATGGAGATACAAGGTTTGTTCCGACGATATGCTTGCTATTTCGGTGTTCTGAGAGCTTGACTGAAATATTCAGTTGGAATGTAACATCACTGGAATTTAAACATGCTGTTTATTGTCAATATTATTATACTTACCTTTTACCTTTGAACTAAAGTTAGTCTTGATTAATCTAAATAGGCAGGACCTTTAATTCTGAAGCTATTCAAAATACTTGTCAGCTAAATACACACAATATTAATCCAAACTTAACATAAACTAACTGAACCACTGTAGATTAAATATGTAAATTTTATTGTTTTTTTTTTTTGTTTTTTTTTGTTTTTTTTGGTTTGTAACTTGTGTCCACTCAAGAAAATCTTCCACTAAACAGCTAAGTAACCCCCTTATACTTGATTCTCTGGTCATTTACTGTTCAACCACTCCGAATGAACCAAGAACTGGTCCAGTATCAAACTCTTGTGACCTTGGTGGACAAGTCTTACACAAGCAGTGAACTGAGTTGAATTGAATTCCGTACCATCAGCCAATTGTGTGTGCAAACAGAGGAATTAGACCTCTGCATTTAACCCATCCATGCAGTGAAACACCACATACACACTAGTGAACACACACACTAGGGGGCAGTGAGCACACTTGCCCAGGGAGCAGTTGGGGGTTAGGTGCCTTGCTCAAGGGCACTTCAGTCACATACTGTCAGCTGACTGGATCGAACCAGCGACCCTTCAGTCACACGGCTGGTACCTTAACCATATTAAGAAAAGTTAAAATAGTCATCATTACTCTCTTTAGTTAATTGAGATATTACTGAACCATTTAGTGATTATAAACTACTTAAGTCTAAAATAATGTTAGTTCCTGTTTCAGTCATTAGTTATTGATTAGTTGTAACTGTGCTTAACAGTTTAGTATTGCTTATTACTCTCTTAAGCACTGATGGTAAAGTGTTACCAACAATTATATACGGCTACATCTGGATTTGTACAGTCCTGAGTGGTCACATAGAAGACAGAAGGAAAAGGCCAGAAAGCATAGAAATTAAACAAGAATTTACAGGATGTTGCCGGTCTTGCTGGGCTCAGTGATGGAAATGCTATTTGAGTTAGCCACATTATCTTGCAGTGTAATTTCTCCACCAAAGGATGAACTGAACAGACTTTGTTTTACTTAAGCATTTATTACAATGACAAACTGCAAAAGAACAGCCTAACAATAAAAATTACTAAAAACATACAGCGTTGCAGCAAAAAAGACGTGGACAAATGTTTTACATTTATTTATATGTACAAAAGAGAGAAACACAACAAAACATATACATTATAAATTCCACATTTGCAAAAACTGTAACATATCAGATCATAATGAATAATAATTACAATTCTGAAAATAAAAGGAAGCTGGATTCACCATGCCTTCTATGTATCACCATACAGTTTTAAAGAATACATGCACAGAATATTAAAAAAATATACATAATTAATTCACCCTTTAAACTCACACTTCAACCCCCATTAACCACATAACATATTACTCTTATAGTAGAAGATCAAACAGTAAAGATTAATGCCTGAATAATAAGCAAGTAGTTTAAGGGCCATATTTTGCATGGTTTAGTTGATATATGTTCTCTTATGGTAGAAACTATAATTTAATACAAATTGCTACACTTTTCCTAAATTATGTCCTATAAAATGTCAAACCCTGTTGCCAAAATCTATTTTACCCTCCTCAAGGTGGAGAAAAATCAATATACCACATAATAAACATCATCATGACCGTTCTATCAGAATGGACAAGAGAAAAGTAAGTACATTTGTTATTCTTTATTAAAACTGTTTAATTATTTTTCATAAGTACATTACAATATTTTACTATATGAACAAATATTAAGTTCATTTTTTAAAATAAAAACAAATGATGGAACCTAAAACTTTAACACAGGCAGAAGCTTTAGCATTAGCTAGAAAACAGTTGCTAAATTAACCAAGAAAGCTGTAATACCATTTATAATACCACTAATAGTTGATAGTGCTAAGTGCTAACATTATCAGTGTATTAATATTATTATTATTAAAAACACTGTTCAAAAAATGTACGAAAATATCTGAGGAAAATGTGTGTCAGACTACTTAAAATGTTCACAATGCAATGTTAGATACAACTAATGAATCAACCTATGAAAGAAAATATCATTTAATGGTAAAAAGTTTAGAGAAACTTGGTGCACAGCTCATTATATTGTTGCAATATAATACATGATCAGGTGGCATTAGCGGCTAAAGTGGGGTAGGTTGAATCTCTGCATTGTGTTAAGAGACTGTGGTAGACTGTGGTAGAAAGCAGGCTGTGGTAGGTTAAATCTGAACATGATCATCCATCTGAACATTATTATATAATAAGAATCTGACTGGTTGTGTTAAGGGTCTGGTAGACTTGCTGTGATTTGTTGATGTTGGAATTTAGGCTTCTCTTGTAGACTGAATCTGACTGGTTTGTTTTGGGGTCTAGGCTCTATTAGATTGAAACAGAATAGCTATTGTCAGGGTCCAGACTCTAGTAGACTGAATCTGGTTCCTTGGTGTTGGGGTTTATGCTCTGGTAGACTGAATCTGAATGGTTGGTGTTGAAGTTTAGACTCTGGTAGACTAAATCTGATTCCTTGGTGTTGGGGTTTAGACTCTGGTAGACTGAATCTGATTGGTTGGTGTTGGGGTTTAGACTCTGGTAGACTGAATCTGATTGGTTGGTGTTGTGGTTTAGACTTTGGTAGACTGAATCTTGGTGTTGGTGTTCAGACTCTGGTAGACTGAATCTAATTGTTTGGTGTTGGTGTTTTACACTCTGGTAGACTGAATCTGATTGGTTGGTGTCAGGGTTTAGACTCTGGTAGACTGAATCTAATTGTTTGGTGTTGGGGTTTAGACCCTGGTAGACTGAATCTGATTGGTTGGTGTTGGGGTTTAGACTCTGGTAGACTGAACCTAATTGTTTGGTGTTAGGATCTATGCTCTGGAGGACTGGACCCATGCTGATGTTGTTGGGGTTTCCAGATGAGTTATCTTCATAATCATTATCAGTCTGAAATCACAGCAACACATAGGCACTGTGTCACATTCACTATACTGATTATACTTAAAATAAAACCATTAAGTATCAAGTAAATACACATGAATAGTACTTAAACTGTGAACTGACTTTTGATTAGATATCAGAAACTTTAACACATTTATTTTCCATCATATAACATTAAATGTATTGACGTACTGAGCAATTTTAAGTGAAAGAGAAATACCATTCCTAAATAATTTTTTCAAGAAGTATACAATAATAAATCCTGAGTAGTTTAAGAATGTATTTCAACTACAGAAAATTCTCAGTTTGCCCCTGAGCTTTTTTACTCACTGTTCTACTGGTTGGAGGTCTGGTGTAGAAAGAGTCTGTAGAAAGAGAAAAATCACAAAGTTGTATACGATTAAGTATAATTATTCACAAGCTGATATAGTCTTTGATTGTCTGATTAAAATATGATTGTGTCTTCTGGTTTCGGTAATGTCAACAAAGAAATGGTTCAATTAAAACCAGAATCCAAATTTCAATCATCACCTTCATATTTTGAACAAAGAAAATCAGAATCACAATAGTCTTTATAGAGAGACATTTAAAACATGGTCTACCTGACAGTGAGGATTTTTTTCTTTTCAACCAAATGACCAGCAGCAATGCAAAACCCAGCAGTGCAGCACTGACACCCACAGCAGGGTAGAGTCCCGCTGGTAAAGATGGATCTGACAAAAGTGAAGAAGACATCTGACTGCTTTTTGTTAACTTTCAACACATCATCTGTAGAAGTATGTGGTGCAGAAGTAGGTGCAGAAGTACAGAAGTTCCAAAAAAGTAAAATGTCAATAAATAAACAGAATGCAATGATTTGCAAATCTCATAGACCCATATTTAATTCACAATAGAACATAGAACACATATCAGATGTTGAAAGTGAGACATTTTCCATTTCATGAAAAATATTAACTCATTTCATCTCAGAAAAAAAGGGACAGGGGCAACAAAATCTGTAAAAAGTAAGTGGCACTAACAAAAAACAGGTGGTGGAGCAATTTGCAACTAACTCACATGACTGGGTATAAAAAGAGCATAGTCTCTCAGAAGCAAAGATGGGCAGAGGTTCACCAATCTGCGAAAAACTGCGTTGAAAAAATTGTGGAACAATTTCAGAAAAAATGTTCCTTAATGTAAAATTGCAAAGACTTTGGAAATCCCACCATCTACAGTACATATCAACAAAAGATTCAGCGAATCTGGAGAAATCCCTGTACTCAATATTGGATGCGCATGATCTCCAGGCCCTCAAGAAGCATTGCATTAAAAACAGGCATGATTCTGTACACTGTATGAGCTCAGGAACACTTCTAGAAATCATTGTCTGTGAACACAGTTCACTGTACAATCCACAAATGCAAGTTAAAGCTGTATGATGCAAAGAAGAAGCCACATGTCAACATGATTTAGAAACACTGCCGTCTTCTCTGGGCCAAAGCTCATTTAAAATGGACTGGGGCAAAATGGAAAACTGTTCTGTGGTCAGATGAATCAAAATTTGAAATTCTTTTTGGAAACCAAGGGCACCATGTCCTGTGGACTCAAGAAGAGAGGGACCATCCAGCTTGTTATCAGCACACAGTTCCAAAGCCTGCATCTTTGCTGGTACGGGGTTGCATTATTGCCTATGAAGTGGGCAGCTTACACACCTGGAAAGGCACTATCAATGCTGAACAGTATATAGAGGCTTCAGAATAATATATACTCCAATCCAGACAGCGTCTCTTTCAGGGAAGGCCTCGGATATTTCAGCAAAACAATGCTAAACCACATACTGCGTCATCACAACAGCATGGCTTTGCAGAAAAAAAAAATCTGTGTGCTGAACTGGCCTCCTGTGGTCCAGACCAATAGAAAACATTTGGCACATCATGAAATGAAAAATCCAGCAAAGAAGACCCAGAACTGTTGAGCAGCTAGAATCCTACATCAGACAAAAATTGGAAAACATTCCTCTCCCAAAACTCCAGCAATTGATCTCCTCGCTTCCCAGACATTTACAGACTGTTGTTAAAAGAAGAGAGGAAGCTACACAATGGTAGGCATTAAGTCAAGCTTGCTAAGTGTTAGCGTTGGGCTCCATCAAGTTTGTGCCTTGTCTTCGCTCCTTTTTGTGATATATGGAGGCTGGAGGGTGGTGTCTCTGCTATTTTCAGGTGATGTTGTTCTTTTGGCTGGATCGCATGGATGCCTCCAGCGCTCATTGGAGCGGTTTGCAGCTGAGTGTGAAGTGGTTGGATCAGCACCTCCAAGTCTGAGTCCATGGTCCTAGCCTGGAAAAGGATGGCATGCCCACTCCAGGTAAGGGGAAATGACCTGCCCCAGATGGAGGAGTTTAAGTATCTCAGGGTCTTGTTCACAAGTGATGGGAAGAGGGAAACGTGAGATCGGCCAAAGCCTGGGACAGGTGGCAGCAGTAATGCAGTCACTGTACTGGACAGTAGTGGTGAAGAGGGAGCTGAGCCAGAAAGCGGCAGAAATGAGCTTTCTTTGCAGGGTTGCGGGCTAGACTCTTGACTACTTGACAGGGTGAGGTGCTCGGTAATCAGGGAGGAGCTTGGAGTAGAACTGCTATTGAGAGGAGCCAGTTGAGGTGGTCCGGGCATCTGATTAGGATGCCCAACTGGATGCCTCCCAGCGGGGGTTTCCTAGACCCCAGGGTCATACTAGGACCCACTGGAGGGATTATAATTCCAAGTTGGCCTGGGAGCAGCTTGGTGTCCCCCGGAACGAGCTGGAGGAAGTTGCAGGGGGCAAGGTCATCTGGGTTTCTCTGCTCTCCCAGCTGCTACTGCGACCGTATCTGGACTAAGTGGTTATTGATGATGAATGAATGCATTCTGTTTTTATTTACATTTTACAAAGCATCCCAACTTTTTTGGAATTGTAGAATTAATTTACTTTCTTTAAACTCTTAAATGACCAAGCCCTAATGACTAGTCCAGACTTTTATCACACACCAGAATAACTTCAGAATAACTCAAATCCACAATGAATTGTCGTAATTTAATTAAAAAAGCCACCACAAAGCGTTCTTTGAGTGATGCAATAGAGGAACCATTTGTTTCCCTAAAGCATAACTGTATGTTGCAGTTCCAATGCTACTGTTATGTCCATGTCAAATAAATAAACTAAGAGCTATGTTTGATTTTTTTAAGGTTTAAATAAGTTCTTTAAACTTTTCATTTGCACAGCTCATTTACAAAAATGGTTCAAAAGAACCATCCACTGAAAGTTTTTTAAGGGACCTAAAGTGATTCTTCTATGGCACTGCATTATATAACAAACACAAATATTTTAAGGGGTTTATATATATATATTTATATATATATCTTGGTTATTCAATTTAGATTGTATTTACTCACTATTTATGTTGAGTCTTACGCTCATGGTCAGGGAAGTGTAAGTAATGTCTCCTTCACTGGTCTCTACTCCACACCAGTACACTCCAGCATCACTGAGGGTCAGATTGCTGATGGTCACTATGAAGAGTCCTGGTTGGCTGTGGTCAGATAAAGAATATTTCCTCGCAGCTCTGATGTCTTCGCAGATGAGATTCTGGTCCTCTTTGCAGAAGTGCTTTAGATTGGCTCTGAGTGTCGGTGGGTGCTCACAGGTGATTGTGAGAGTGTCACCGATATTACCAGCCTGTGAGATGATCTTCACACAACAGGGATCTGAAGATACTTTAATTCAAATATCACATCACAAAGATTTTCATGTGGACACAGTCGTAAGAGATCATTTCTTACCTTCCTTCACCTCCACTTTCACTTCTATGTATTGTTCAGTAAACTCTGATACATCCACTCCACACCTGTAGGTCCCTTCTGACAGATTTCTGAAGAATACCTTTAGAGACCCTCTGCTGGTGTCGTCATACAGAGAAAATCCCTCATTTTGCTGCCATTCATTCTGCATCTTAGCGTATGTCCTTTCTGGACATTCCCCCTCTGATTCCTTACAGATGAATTTGGCCTTAGTTTCCTCCACTGGATGTTTGCACTCCATTATTGCACGTCCTCCTAAGAATCCCACCACTTCGACAGATCCAACTTTGTCTGTCAATTGAAAAATCCAAGTTATGAGATCACATGAACAAGCTTGGGACAACATCTTATTAGCCAGACTCAGCATATGATATATGTTCATATATTTAAAGGTGGGTTGTCATAACACTTTTTGTAATATTGGCAAAATTTTCTACATTCTGTCAACTGTCAAAACAATTTGGGCTCAGAGGAAAACTGGATGCCATAGGCTCTGTAAACAGGAGACAGAAAATAAATAAAGTGGACCCCCGAAGATTCAACCAATCAGGACAAGCAGGTCTATCAACCTGCCTGTCAATTGGGTTGTGCTTCCACAACACATAGTAGTGCACTATAGCTTAGCAAGAAAGCTACAAACCTGTGATCTGGTTAGTTCTTCTAAGAAAATAACACCAAAATGGCATTTCTGCCACTAACTATGATGGTCTACTGTGCCTTAGAAACCAGGAAAAGAAAGATGGAAGAACAGAAAACAAGACACATCAAGAGCAAAGCCAACAGCGAATAATGATGTGGCTTCCCAAAGCTGTAGAGCACTAAGGGAATTGAAGGATGTGATGAGTGACACTGAACTTGCTTTATATCTGCTAGACAGCTCATTCTTTTGCAGCTAACAAAGTATAACAACCATTCAATTTAACTTGAGGCCTAAGCTTTGGAGGAGCACTGAACACTGGGGCTATATTTGTTTGGTTGTGTTGTGGAAACAATAGCACGCTTCTGATTCAAAAACTTCACCTAATACAAAACAGAAAAAAAATTAAACACTAAGATTGGCAGAGAAAGGTACAATCTTTTATTAACAATTAAGGCTTCACAAATGTAGGTGTTAACCTGAGTTGCTCGGGACTGTGACAATAAAAAAAAATGAGAAAAATCAAACCTTTTTATAATGCTCTGGACAGGTTACCCACCACCAATACCTCATCTCACCTGATCTGTCTTACAGTCACATGTAACTCTGACGTCACTGAGTTCGATTACAACTGTAACATATTTTTTTCTATTTAGTTACACCTTTTCACTTAGCCTCGGCCTTCTGTGACAAACACCTTTGTTTTCTTCTAAAAGTGCCTTGTCATCCTTCATCTTCCATTTCAGTTCTATTCATTAAAATACCATCACATAAAATAATAGTCACCGGCTTTAAGCTATTGCATTTGATTATATACCATTATCCATAAATTAAAAGACTTTAAAGGGCTTGGCGCTTGATCACATCAATTCACATATCCCACATATTCCCTTTTCCCTTTTTCACTGATCAAGAGAGTATAAAATAAGTTAGAATCTATTGATCATCCCTTATGTTCTGGCCCTGCCAGTGCAATAGCGACCCCTAGTGTACAGCACAGGAGGTGCAGTACAAGAACTTTGGTTTAATACAGGAAATGGGAAGTAAATTCAGCGCTAGCCTGCATATAGTTCTTGGACTTGGCGATGTGAATAGTTAATCCTTCACCATCCATGTACAACAGCTTTTAAAAGAGGCAATATCTGTGAGTAATCTTGTTAAAGACAGCTATATCTTTGTTTCTGCCATGTTATGTAGACTTGGTAAATGTATGTCATGATAGATGTTTGCAATATCTTTGGATCACAAACCTTACTGTATAGCATATGTAGTGTCAGTTGCAGCTTTGCATGTTAACAAGCAGCTTTGTCTGTACTGTTTTACTGTCCACTTTAGTGCACTCTTTCTACTCAGAGATGAATTGTCATATTTCTGTCCTCTTTTATATTTAACAGTTTCACAAGAAACATCTGAGTAAAGTCTCAAGCAAAATGGCACATTGTTTTCATTGGATTTATTTGGATGACGATGATTAGCTGACTGGATAACTGAATACAGCTACACTGAGTAAGGCCAGTACACCTTAATAGTCACTGAACAGGTTATATATAATTGTGACTGAACAAGGAAGTGTTAAATTGTTTGTTTTGTACATGAAATGGATGAAAAATGAAGTTATGATCCATGCTAGGTTTCTCTAGCTGTGTTCCAAAGCCTACACTGGATTTCTCAGCTGCTATGTCATAGCAGGCTGTTCCAAAGTGAAGGATCCTTTGTATACAGCCTAGAAATGCAGCCTACGTTCTGAGTGATTTCAAGGATGCATCTGATGTATCCTTCCAGACTTCGATTACCCAAAGTTCTCAGCATACGAACGACGTTAAGACAGCACCATGAAAACGGCGGAAAACGAAGCCGTTGGAGCAGAGCTTGTTTTAAAATGGAAGTTGTTCACGTCCTTCAATTTGTCTTCATTGTCTTAAAAAGCGTAAAATGATGAATTAAAGCATTCATCGAAAGCATACGATCCATATATCATATCCATATATTGTATTTTAATCAGAAGTATTTGTATCTATGCAGTTTATTGTACTACATAAGAACATCTCCTCCATTTCCGTCAAGAAATGAAAAAATAACAAACTCAATGCAACGGGCTCCATTTTCTCTCACCAGCTCCCTCACGAGTTTTGCACTGCTCTGATGATGTCACCACACAGCCTCGTTAGGACTGTTCCATTTTTGTGACCGACAGACTGCTAAGGAGGAGTCTTCATAGAACAGTCCTACCCATAACCCACACTACCTCGGCTGCAGCCTAGGCTTTGGAACGCAGCTTCTGTTTGCAAGGCTAAAACTAGGTGTTGGTGTGTGTATTTACAAGCCAAGTCTCCCAGACAACGGCCAAGTGTTCCTATCATAGTTACAGTTTATGTCCAAGATGGGACTGAGCAGTGTTTCCCAGGCCTGGTTGCAACACAGTGATACAATTTGTAGCACTCCAGGACAAAACCTAGCACGTACACACAGAGGCCTAGCGCGTACACACAGAGGCCTAGCACGTACACACAGAGGCCTAGCACGTACACACAGAGGCCTAGCGCGTACACACAGAGGCCTAGCACATACACACAGAGGCCTAGCACGTACACACAGAGGCCTAGCATGTACACAAAGAGGCCTAGCACATACACACAGAGGCCTAGCATGTACACAAAGAGGCCTAGCACGTACACACAGAGGCCTAGCATGTACACAAAGAGGCCTAGCACATACACACAGAGGCCTGCATGCACAGAAATAGAACACAGCATAGTGTGATTAACTTTAGCATCAAATCAACCACAAATATGGTTACAGCAGAGTCTCTCTACATATGTGCTTCTCCGTGCCATAAGAAGAGGCCTGCTTAGCACATATCAGCATATGATTAATTTTGATTGAAATCATCTATTACTTTATTAGACCTGAAACTAAACCTGAACTGTCTTTCACATTATCAAAAACATTCCCTCTGTTGTTTCAAAGCAGTTTACTTCACCAAAATGGATAACCTCCCCTTTAACAAGCAACTCTAATAAATAGATAAATAGATAGATAGATAGATAGATAGATAGATAGATAGATAGATTGATTGATTGATTAATAGGTAGGTAGATGCTATGTCACAACTCTTACCCTGATCTGTCTTACAAATGTAGTTTCACCCTTTAAATCCCAGGCTTATTACATACTAAGGCTTATTATTTAGTAACTACAGGCCCTCCATTGCAAACTGGTTGAGATATTCTTAGGTTATAGCAGTGTGAAATAAAACTATGGTCCTGCCGGGGGACCCAAGGCCTACTAATGTGTTAAATTGAGGATAATATCTTTGTGAAATTTTGATCAAGAGCAAAACACAGAAAGAGAAAACTATATAAAAGTTACAGAGGTGTACGGCACTTACTAGCAACACGCAGGTGGATCTCTTTGACTGTTATGGATAAGACTTTGGTCGTCGCTACACAAAAATACATCCCAACATCATCATCTTGTATGTTCCTGATGTGCATACTGAAGGTGTTAGACTCTGCGTCATCAAAGATGCTAAATCTGTCGTCCTGTTTCTGTGAATCAGTGCTATAGACCACTTCTAGGAAACTGTCACGGCCTAGTTTGTTGAAAGACTTTGTAAATGTCTTAAATCTCTCTGGATATTCGCAGCTGATGGTGACATTCTCTTCTAGATGGCCAGCTACTATCTTCATTGTGTTCCTGCAAAAAGCACCTGTCGATCACAAACAAGATCGGTTTGTTCACATATATAAAGTCAAGGTGAAAAATGAATAACAAACTAAATTTAGAAAAAAATATCTGTAGCCTCTTAAGCTCCTTGGACCAGTGGTTCCAAAACGCACTTCATCATATTCTTCATAACTTTCATATTTCATAAGCTACATTCAAAAAGTGGGTGTCATATGAGAGCTGTAATTTGTTCCACAAATCTGGGCTATAAACTTTAAAAAGATGGGGTCTCTTCAGTGATCTGCTCTATAAAAATTATTTTTATAAAATAATACAAAGAGCGTCTAAGATTTTTGGCTTTCAGCAGTAAATTGTAAGCATATAGCAATATGTGTATGATCATAACACATTTTCTGTTAATTTGAGGGGAACTTTTATAAAAAATAAATAAAATAAAAATTTGCATTTATTTCTTGCAGTTACTGAATAATTTGCCTTAAGATTTGGTCACGTAAACTCAGATGGACAAACCAAAATATACCCTGGAGCATAAGAGGTTAAATCAACCATATTTATGCCAGAGAGTTAAGAAAATGTTTCTTAAGATTTTTTAAAACACAAAAAAAAAAATAAAAAAAATTCAAACAATAGAAGCTAATCAACACTTTAGTATCTTGGCATTTTTTGTAATGTTATAATAAAAAGGCCAGAACAGACTAAATTTTCATATAAATCTTGTTTTAAGGCCTAATTTTAGATAATACATGAAGAAGCCTCAAGAGATACAGGCTTAATGCAAGGGAGCAATGTTTACTGTAAAATAAGTAATTAACTGGCAGATATACATAGCTACAAATAAGAAAACTGTAATTCACTGATTAACATATTGTACACATTGAGTGGGAGGTTCACAGTAAAGAAACTAAAGGTCATTATGA